CACGCAAACGCGAAATACATCAAGGCTCCTCGTATCCTGCAGGCATGGATGCAGTCCCCGGACACGTGCTCCGTGGGGCATAGGCATAGGCTAGAGGTTCCGGGTAGGTGCAGGACCCCTGAACCAAACACCATACTTCATTTTAGCTCTGCCATCCTGGTGTTCTATAGACTTATAAGTCTCCTAACCCCAATTAGGGCCCCTATTAGGGGGTACTTATAGCTCTACTTCCTACCTACTTACTAGACTCTGAACCCTGAGGTCCCAACCTCAGGCTCCTCCTAGTATAGGAGTTCTACATGTCCTTGCAGGCGGAAAAGAGTCCAGACAAAAAAACAGCTAGTAAACTTGCAAAGCCCTTTAACTTAGATCCCCAATACCCGACCGTTACACTTTTTAGGTTCTTATATAGTTTAGTAGGAATCGGAAAGTTTCACCTTTCATTTCTGTGGCTTATTGGGGGAGTAAGTTAAAGGAACCCTTATAATCCCCGTCAAAGGAGCCCCCTACTTACTAAGTTCCACGACCCTCCGAGCGCCTTCCTGGGATCGGTAGGACATGTGCATGAGAAGTTTCACAGCAGCATCGAAAAAGTCCGAAAACCCTGGCTCTTAAAGGGGTTCCTTTAACCTTCAATAGCGGTTTCATAGGGGTGTTGGGCCAACTCCTAACCCCCTACACCCTAGACCCTAAGCCCCCAAACACTAAACCCTACTCCTACAGAGGCCACTGCGATGGCATCCCGGGCTCGAACCAAACTGTGCGAACCCTCAACATGTGAGTACGTAAGGTCCTTAGGGCTTACCCCGCTTGGGCTTTAGGGTTTAAGGTTTAATGTCCGTATGGATAGAGAACCCTAAACCCCGTAAACCCCTACACGCCCTAAGCTCTAAATCCCTGACGGGTAAACCATGTAACCTTACCTTAACCCCAAAGAACCTACCCTTTTAGGGACTTATGTAAAGAAATCATATTAGGGGGCCCTAAAAAGGTAGGTTCCTTACTTGGAGGGTCGGGGGACTTAGTAAGTACCCTAAAAAGGGACACTAATTGGGGTTATGGTACTTATAAGTCCTTAAAATTACAGAAAGGGACAAGTTACTAAGTCCCCCTTACCCTCCAAGTAGGGTCCAGGTAACTCCGGAGCCCTCAACCCCTAAGCCCTCAACGGTCCTATGAGCGCCCACGACCGCACACGTATATCCTGACCAAGCCGTGACTCATACGAAGGGTTCCTGTAAGAGTTGCTTTAAGGGCTGCTTTCACGGGTTCCTTGTAAGAGTTGCTTTTAAGGGTTCCTTTGGAGGGTTCCTTTTACGCGTTCCTTCAAGGGTTTCTTTTAAGGCTTCCTTTATGGGAGGGGCGGGGGGGGGAGGCTTGAGGATTTTTGCAAACAAGCTTGAATTGAAGATATATGGTTTACCTTGAGGGTTTAGGGCTTAATTGCAGGGCTTAGGGAGAGAACTCGAGACACATCCGGAAGCTTACCCGACATTTATGATTGCGCCGCTCTGTTTAGCTTGCAAGCCGTCCTAAAGCCCAAATGCTAAACCCTGCACGTCAAAGGCCTCGTGTCCCGGACTTTCCACCTTAGATCATGGCCCCGGAACTGCCCAAACCTGCAGATGAGGCCACACCTTGTATCCAACGACGACAACGACAACATGGCACCTTCACTGACTTGACGGCTTCATCGGTAGTTAGGGCTTGGAGAGAGTAGTGTCGGGTTTCAGTTTAGGGCTTGGTGTCTGTATTCTGGGGAGCGGTTGTACAGTCTCGCCTGCTTTTGAGCAGTTTACGTTTCAGCACGTTTGATCGGCGACAAAAGGCGCGACTGAGGCCCAGAATTCCCGCATCTCGCCTGTAGCCATCTACCAAAAGGATTCTGGAGCTTAGCAGCCAGGGTTGAAAGTTATGGCAACCATTTATCTTACACACACACACACATATATATATATATATATATATATATATATATATGTATGTACATACATATGTACATACATACATACATACATACATACATACACACACGTATATATATATATATATACACACAGTAGCAGCCCCCAAAGCACTTATAGAATTACTCACGAAGTCCCTGATCCTCCAGGTCGGAACTGGGCTTGGAAGGGCTGGGGTTTCGGGCTCACTTGCCGGTGAACTCTTGTTCCAACTCAGAGGGTTTAGGTCTTAGGGTTTAGGGTTCGATCCTATGGAAGCTTTGAAACACGTAGGAATTTCCGAAATTTAGGGGTATACCTTATTGTGGAGCCTTCATAATAAGGATTCAGGGTACTAGATTGGGGTCCCCTATCTTCGGAAACGCCCAGGTAGGACTGTGGATGTAAACCCCCCAAGCCCGAAATTGTAATCCCCCAACCTTAACCTCCGACCTGCGAGCTTGCGCAAAACTTGTATCAAAGGGTAAAAGGAGGGTATAGCCCATTATAGGGCAGGGGTCCCCGTTAAGGGTCCCTCCTTTTCCCCTTTGACTGTAGACCGACAAGTCACTGCTGCATCAGTTGGAGGCTAGTAAGTCTGCCTGCTTTCTGCATCTCCGTTCCCCTAGAGCCGGCCCTCAACCAAACCTGAGCCTCAGAAAAACCCAATCCCTAAACCCTGCTCTAATTTGTGAAATCCGAAATCCGACATCCTAAACTCGAAACTCAAGCCCTACTTGCTTCAGATCTGGTTCACTGCTTCAAATTCTCAGTGAGCGAAAGTCTCGAAGACCCGACCTCTAACTTGAGGTTTCGGGTTTAGGGCTGATGTCGGGTTACAGCTTGAACCGTAACATAACATCAATACCCGTCGCTGTGAAGGCTCAAGGTTTGTTTGGGCAGGCAGCCGGGGTTGGGCCCCTTGCTGCGCAGATTGCCCAAGGCTGAGGGACCATCGCAGTCTGGGGTCCACCGCCGGGGTTTACCCAGAGACTCCAATACCCCTTAATTCAGGACATACCTTAAACCACAATCGGAACCCTAATATGAGTGAAGGTATATTCCCGAAATAAGGGGTATTGGAGTCTCTAGGAGATCGGGGATTTAGGATTAAACCGTCAAGATTTCAGAGATCAGCGGGGGGGCTTCCACGGTTTGCATGTAGCTGGGGCTTAGTTTTTCTCCTGCTCGCTTACGGGTGTTGGCCCGAAAGATTGGAGTAGTCACTGGTATTATTTCCTTATCTTGTTTGTTCTATGAGTATCACCACGGAACATAGCCACAATGTTGCGATTATGTTGTCATGTGCCTTTGTATCAGGATTGTTCGTATCATCATCATCATCGTAATTGTCACCCGCATCACCATCAGCATTATCATCAGAATCAGCATCATCATCACCAACCTCACCATCAACGCCATCGTCATCACCATCATCATCGCCATTATTTCACCATCACCATCACCACCATCATCAGAATCATTATTTCACCATCACCACCCTAATCATCGTCCTTGTCGTCTCATCATCGTCATGAGCCATGGTTCCCACAGCTGGAGACCAGAGCTTGAGCTGAAACTCTAAGACTCTAAGGCTAACTTGTATCCCAGACCCCCAGAAGGATCTAGGGTTAAGGGTTTGGGGGTTTAGGGTTGAGGGTTTAGGGTTTGGGGGTTTAGGGGTTTAGGGTTGAGGGTTTAGGGGTTTAGGGTTGAGGGTTTAGGGTTTGGGGGTTTAGGGTTTAGGGCTTAGGATCTAGCAAGAAAACCCCCTTATTTGGGGCCCTATGGATACTTTACAGAAACCCGCATTAAGGGATCTACTTTTTGGATCCTCCCGGGGGTCTGGGATGATGTGTCGAGTTCCAGTCTGGGGAAGGTTGCGGCACTGAAGGCTTGAGCTGAGAAGTCTCGAACCCTACCCATGTACTCCGTACCCTCAAGCAAAACCCATCGGGTCCAAGTACTCCCTATTTCAGTACTCTAGGGCCTTGTAGGCATCAAAAACCATAAATAAGGACTACTTGGACCCTTAGGGAAAGATCTAGATGTATTTGGGGATCAGGGCGGAGGATGGAAACTTGGTCTGTATCCGCACCGCGGAAAGTTCGAGTAGAAATAAGTAGTGGGCTAGGATTCCCCAAGACCCTTGAGGGATCAGGGAGGGTGATGTTCCAGGCTTTCGGATAGTTGCTGTAGATTGCGTCCTTCGTTTTTCATGCTCGATATTCCAGATCAAGCCCTCCATTTGAGATCTTGCTTGCAGGAAGCTGTAGGAAACAATAGGTTCAGGGGGGTCGAAACTCAAAAACCCTACACTTTCAATGTGATCAGACCTTCAACCTTAAAACCCTGAACCCGAAAACTCAAAACCCTACGTGGGACCTGCAAGCTGTGCTATCTTACGCCCCGAACCAAAAGCTGCATGAGGTTTACGCCTCGAACCAGGGATCCGAAGGAAAATAAGGAGGCCGTGACGGCAGGATTTTGACTCAACTCGAACCTCAAATCACCCGCTCCTCTAGCCTGACCCCTAAACCCTAACTCCTATCTCTGTCTCTATATATATATATATGTATATATGTTGCCTACATATATATATATATATATATATACACATACATATACATACCTGCATATGTATGATATGTGTATATACGTGTGTATATATATATATATGTAATCTAGCAGGTCTCTTTTAATGAAGGGGTAAGCGGATTTTCTGGTTTGCGCACCTGAAGCTCCTACCTAAGCCCCAAACCCCAAAAACCCCTGAAGCCCTTAAGACTTAACCCTTGCCTTAACCTTCCGTACGTGCGGTAAGCCCCACATCCCCAAACCCTTAAGCCCTGAACCCGAATGGGCTGAACCTTCCCTAAGGCTCCATGTACCCATATAGTATATACTTAGGCCTTCAAGGGGTTCCTATATGGGTACTTTAGGGTATAAGTATATCTATATGGCCATATGGAGCCTCTGGGCTTCAACCCCTCAAGCCCCTCAGCTGAACAGCCGTAGCTTCATTTGCCACTTGGTTTCGAGGTTGCGCCCGTTATCATGGCTGGAGCACCTCCAGCATTGGTAGCCTGTCCGTCCATCGAAACGCCGGGTTTAGCGTTTAGGGTTTAGGCAAGGCATGGGGCGTTCAGGATTGAAGCATATGAGCTTTGGGATGAGGGCTTGAGGGTTGATATAACGGCCTCCAGATTTTCTTGGTTTCGGGCTCCGGCCCCCGGGATTTGCTGTTTCAGTTTTGAGGTGTACACTTTAGAGTTTCGGATTGCAGCCTTAACTCCTTAACCCCTAGCGCAGCACCCTAAAGCCCAAACCCAAAACCGTTAATCCTAAACTCTAGACCTGAAACCGTGATTGGCCTCGGGTTGTGAGAGCACGAGCAGCAAGGAAATTCCATATCTAAAGCTAAGTACTCAACTCTAAACTCTAAACCCGAAACCTTAAGCCCTAAACCCTAAGTCGTCCTGATCTTCTTTTTGTGTGCTGCTCATAAGCTTGAGGTGCTGTGTGGCCCTCTGAACTCTGCCTAGAATCTGCACATCCTGACGATTATTGCATTCACTTCTGCGATTGCATGGATGGTGTGGGGTGAAGGATCTTAGGGTTTAGGGTCTGTGAGGGACTGATACGACATGATTGCTACCAGTATGAGTTACAGCAGGTGCCACCCAAATCTAACCTTACGCTACCAGAATCTACGTGAAGGATCAGGAGACTTATTAAGCATCATGGGACTTAGTAAGCAAGATCTTTCTACGTATGTTCATGTTCACGCATACTTACCATACTGAGTTCCATTATTCACAACCCTAGTACGTCCATTACTGAAACCCCATCCACAAAGCTATAAACCGTAAGCCCACCCTAGGTCCTACACCCTACCAAAACCCAAAAACTCTTCAAAACCCTAATCCCGATTGCTTATTTCCAGACAGAACCCTTCTAGAGAACGCTTGTGCAGAACCTTGGTAGAATCAGACCCTTGGCCTGAATCCTAATCTCTGCTTATAATGAACGCTTTAAAGGAAGCCTACTACAGCCGCTTAAAGGCCCTATTGACAGATTGAGGCCCTTCTTGTATCCCCTTAAAGACCCTAAACCCCAAACCCTAAGCCTTAATTGATTTAAAGATTCCTTATAGAAGAAGCCAGAAAGTTGGAACATCATTAGCCTCATGCTCTTAAAGCAAAGTATAGGGAATCCTAGCAAGGATCCTCCTAAATCCACGTTCCAACTTTCTGGGGTTCACGATAAACCCTCACCCTAGGCCCTAAACCTAAAACAGCCTCCGCACACCCTCCCACGTTCTAAATTTAAGGGTTCCTTTAAGGGTTCCTGTTGAAATGCTTCTCACTGCATGCCCAGGTATCAGGTTAGACAGGTGTGTAGTCTGCTTGAAGGGATTGCCGGCACTTGTATAGTTTCCTTCAGGTAGGCTTGTACATGTGTGTTTCCTGTATCCTTTGGCTCTAGGGGAAGGCTGCGTAGGAAAGCCTCTTGAGCCATGTGTACTGTAACCAACAACTTGTAAAGCTGTACACGTCGTTTGTTGGTTTGTCGGTTCTCTTGTTGCTTCGTTGAGATCGTGAGTCGCCTCTGCGCCCAGCCATAGAAAACATTCTGCGTGAGCTTCGCTGCAGGGTATGGCCACCCAGGGTGAACACCTTCAACAGGTGATGAGCCCAACGCCTGGGCCAGAAGCAACCGGAGCGGTGGCTTCTCCGGCCTCTCTGCCTGGAGTGTGGGGAGGCGGGGATGCACCGCAGACTACAGTGAATGGTACAACCGCCGGAGTTGGAGTGCCATCGCCCTCTGGGCTTGCGCAGCCTATTGGGGATGGAATCCAGCAAACTATGATGGATGCGTCGTCGGGGCCATCGACTTCCACAGCTGGTCCAGTGCCATCCCCTCAGCTGCCACAAGAAACTGTTGGAACAGCCGGCCAACCGAGAGTTTCAGCAGTCGGTAGGACAGGAGGCGATGGAACACTAGGCCAGGTTGGAGGCTTGGGCACAGCTGGCGTTACGTATGAAGCAGTATCTACCACGGAGGTCGCTGATGCGAGTGGGGTACATGGAGATGCAACTGCAGTGACTCAGGGTTTCAGTGTGGCCACCGAAAGTGGAATGGCTAGCGCTCAGATCAATGTTGCCGCAGGCGTCTCAGGGTACAACCCATCTGCAGCGAATCCTGGAAGTAGTGCTGAGGGCTTTGAAACGCCCAGATCAACGGCGTACGGGGCGTCAGCGGTCATGCAGACTGGGGCTCAGGCTTTTGCTAGTCAGTTGCTAGGAAGAGTGCAGTCTCTGTTTGGTGGCGCGGCGAACGTACAGCCACTGCCGCAAGGGTGGGCTCCCAGTCCACTGACTTCTCCTCCAAGGCCGTCGCGACCACTACAGCCCCTCGAGAGAGGAGGCCGCGTCCTGCAAGATGAGTGTCAAGTGCCGATGCCGTTGTTCACTGGTGCCAACGCGCAGCAGCTTGCTGCCATGGAGCAAAGAGCTCCCTTGCTCTACGGGTCCGGGTCTCCGGACAGGCCTCCGCACACCGAGTCCTCATCTATTCCGCATGATGCGATTCAGGCAGAAGTCGCGCGACAGCTTGATGGGTTGAAGCAGCAACTGCGAGCTGAGCAAGAGAGAGCTGGTCGTGCTGAGGCCGAACTCTCGAGGATTCGGTCTCAGCAGGCTGGTGAAGTTGAGGCTACGGCGTTGCAGCAGGTGGGTACTACCTTCAACACCTTTTGCTTGAAAAAAAAAGCTCTCTGGCGCATAATTGCTTTTGTGTCTAAAGAGCAAAAGAACAAGCAAAGAGCGGAAACGGGCGGAAGAGCAGTTTTCATGGGTTTATGGGGCTCGGCTTCCGAGCATTTTCCGCATAAAAGCCGTAAGGATGAGAACAATTTTCGTTTGGGTATCTTACAGGGGATCTTCAGGATGAGAGCAAATTTTGTGACAGCAGTTTTCCCGATGCAGCTGTTGATCGGACGTTTTGTGTGCCTGAGGATCTCATCATATTTGAGGAAGAAGAGCGACAAGAACGTGCAAAAATGCACTTGCAAGCATGTCTACATATCTACATAGGACCTGTACAGCTATAGACAAGCTACTGTACTACCGCACGTATCAAAGACTAAACGCATACTGGTGCTGCAGAAGGCTCCGCACTTGGTATCCCGTGCATATCTTTCTTTCTCGCTATATAGCCCGATATAGCCCGCCGTAGTGTCGTGTCCATCCCGCTGAATACATGCGCGCACGCTCAAGCCAAATGTTCTGTCTGTACCTCTTGACCCGCCTGCATGCTTGTTACCTCTCGACTTGCCTGCCTTTTAGTTGAAACTCTTTGCTGCAGCAAAATTTTCACCCCGGCAAAAAACTTTCATTTGCGTGGAAAAGTGGAGAGCAAGAAAGAGCGGCATCGAGTGGAAGAACAGTTTTCAGGGCAAGCGGGCCGACCCTTCAGAGCAATTTTCTGAGAGAGAACGGTGGGGGGTGAGGGCAGTTTTTGGACCAGGTGGGTTTGAAGAACTAATTCTTGAGAGAGGTTGAGAGCAAGTTTTCGTGTAGCAGTCGGCCAGTCCAGCTTTTGATCGAGCAGAACTGAATGCATCTGCGGGTCATTCGTCTCAATCGGTGTACGCACTGAAACATACAAGCCTGTTTGTGTCTCGTATAGGTCGAAGTTTTAGAAATCCTGCTTGAACGTGTTCGCAACATGTACACATCTGGACAAAGACGATCGCTAGACATATCTAGACAGACAGACCTGTTCAATTTATGCATATGTAGATATACAGACAGGTCCAGGTACCTAGACACATAGCTTTTCTATATACGTACAGACATACATAACCATGTAGACATATACACGAATGAAACTCCAACCTTAAGAAGTATATCTTGATCTGGCTACGCAATCTTGCGATCATCCCCAGTTGGACTACTTGCCCCAAAACCTGCCTCATGTTGCCTCGGCAAAGCACATAACTGGAGGGATATTTTCCCTCAGCTGGTGGTCAACTCAGCTAAAAATCACTGCCCGAAACCCAGAAACCAGGAAAACGCTAAAGAGCGGAAATCCGCGGAGAGAGAGCGGAAATCCGCGGAGAGAGAGCGGAAATTGCCGGAATGCACGCTGGCCCTTCACTGAACAAGAAAACCCCAAAACCATCACGAGCAGGTTACAAAACAGCCTCTGAGCGGACCGAAACTTCTCGGAGACAGGCCCGAAATACACCCCCGAACAGTCCCCAAACAAAAACCAAGCAGCAGCACCCGGAATCCATCGGAATCCCCGAAAGCAAGCCCGAGCCCTCCCCAAAAAAAGCACCGAACCAAGCCCCACAAATGCAATCCCGGATCTTTAAAGCTGGTTCTGCAGGGTAGATGTATCCACAAATTCGTCCTCTCTCAGAAGAGTCTGTGATGTGAAAAAGGCCGGGTAGCCAATGAGATGCTGCATTTCAGTTCCCTAAACTCTGCCCGAAGCCAATAATCCTGTCGATCATTCTGCCCAAACACTCAGCAACAAATCATCCTAGCGATGATCTTGTGTTTCAGTTCCGTCAACCTGGGCAAAATGCTAGAGCTATCATCCTGCGAAAACACTTCGAAGCCAATAATCCTAGCGATCATCTTTCATTTCAGTTCCTTACACCTTGTCCAAACACTCCGAAGCCAATAGTCATCCTAGCTGTCAATACAGTTCACTAAAGCCTTGCCCGGACGCTTCAATCGATGCCAATGACCCTGTTATCATCAGCATATAAATATATATATATATATATATATATAAATATATATATATATATATATATATATATATACACACATAGATATAAACACATACATGTGCATACGTATATTTTATATGTGATATATATATATATATATATATATGTATGTCGTGAAAGCTTGCCCAAACACTCCGAAGCCGGTAAAAGTCCTATCTCGTCATCTTTGTGTGTTTCAGGTATGGAAGCCTTTCCAGAGAATTCCGATTCGACGCCAATGATCCTGTAATCATCCGGCATGTCACGGCTTGAAACCCTTGCCCAAAAACCC